GCTAATCTTGTTTCAACTAAACTTATACTTGTTTCCTTCTCTCTAGCCAATTTTGAAGAAATGGCTTTGAAAGAAATTACTTTCAAGAAAATTCCAGACATAATTTCATTTCTTCTGAAATACTTCAATTTAAGACGCTAAAAGTTAGAAAGTTTCATTATCTCTCTTTCACACACACACACACACACACACACACACACACACACACACACATACACCCCCTGTTATTCTTCCATATAATTGGATAATGGACATTTAATGGATACTATATCCAACTAACAGGCAACAGACCTTCCTTTCAAATGAGATGTTTATAAAAATTTACCATATTCTAGGCAACAAAGAAAGCCTCTAAAAATTCCCAAAGGTTGAATTACAGGTCACCTCCTTGGATTGCAACATAGTAAAGTCAACCATGGCAATTCCTAAGTGGTCCACTAGTGAGGACCTCACACTTTCACTGCACAGGGCCGGGTTCAAACCCCCTGGTCAGAGAACTAACATCCTGCAAGCCACGTGGCATGGCCCAATCAATAAATAACAAAAAAATCACTTTAAATGCTTTCATCATTGGAGAAGAAAGAATGACCATAAACGCCTCAGTCAATAAACTTTAAAACTTACTTGAAGGAAAGTAAGTAAAAGGAAAATAACATAAAAGCAAGATATAAATGAACTAAAAAATAGAAAAAGGATAGAACTGATACAATCTGAGATCTGGTTCTTTGGAAATAAAAATTTCAATAAGTGACTAATCTCTGACACACCTAATTAAGAATAAAAACTGTGCAATATCAAAGGATGGGAACAGAGGTAATAACACCTGACACTGAGATGACTCTACCATTAGGTTCTAATATATAACTTACTCTGATGAAGAAATAAAGTTTGAATAAAATAAACTGTCCAGATGACTCAGGGATGGAGAGATAAATAGGAAGTGATAAAATAGCTACTACAGGTATACCTTGGAAATACTATGGGTGTGGTTCCAGATCACTGCAACAAAGTGAGTCACAAGAATTTTTTGGTTTCCCAATGTATATAAAAGTTACATTTACACTATACACTGTTAAGTGTGCAATAGCATTCTGTTTTAAACAATGTACATACCTTAACTAAAAATTAAATTATCTCTAAAAAAAAATGCTAAGCATCATCCAAGACTTCAGCAAGTCATAGTACTAACATCAGAGATCACTGGTCACAGATCACCATAACAAATATAATAATGAAGAGCTTGAAATACTGCAAGAATTACCAAAATGTGACCCAGAGACACAAAGTGAACAAATGCTTTTGGAAAAATGGAGCCAATAGACTTGCTGGATAAAGGGTTGCCATCAACCTTCAACTTGTAAAAAACACAGTATCTGCAAAGTGCAATAAAGCAAAGTACAATATAACAAGGCCTGCCTGTACCCTAAAAGCTTGATGGTAGATACGAGGGGGTGGGGACATGACACACCCTAAGATGACTCCCAGGGAGTCAAGCTCTTATTTAATCCCCTTCCCTGGAGTAGAGTACGGGCAGAATCAGTGACTGGCTTCTACATTTTTTTTTTGACCATGCTGTGCAGCTTGCAGGATCTTAGTTCCCTCACCAGGGACTGAACCCATGTCCCCTTGCAGTGAAAGTTGGCAGTGGTACGCACTGGACCACCATGGAATTCTGGGAGCTGTCCTTGTTAACAGCCCAGCGTCAGTCTCCCTGGCCCGGCACCCCATAGGAATGCTAGGCCTATGGCCTCTCCCATCTCACAATGCCATGGATGCCCCCATTCCCATCCCCCATCTTTCCCAGCAGGGAGGGATTCCATGGCATGTGGCTTCATCACCTTCCTCCCTACTCCTCACCTTCTCTGTCCCACGTGCTTCCATCTCAGCCACGAGGACACAATGGAACAAGCTCGCATGCTGAATGAACGTTCTGCCTTTTCCACAACTGCATCCACCTGCTGGGGGCTGGAGGACCACCTCCGGGACACAGACAACAGCACCAAAGAAACTCTCCAGACCAGCCACCTGGCCCCCTTGGCTAACTCCCCCGGGAAACTTCTCCTTCCTTTCACTCCTGAGTGAAACCTCCATGAGGTTCTGAGACAGGACTCTGACCACCTGCACCCCTCTCCCTTCCTGATATCCTAGAAACTGGGCCTCTGCTGATAGCTTACGGTGAACGATGCTGGATTCGTGATCTCTGAAGATTTAGCTTCGGGACCAGGCACCAAGCTTGATCCTTCAAAAGCTTTTGTGTAGCAGAGTTTTACTAAAGTAAGAAAAGGGACCGAGAAAGCTTCTGACTTGGACATCAGAAGGGGGATGGAGAATGCCCCCTCGCTAGTGTTAGCAAGGGAGTTGTATACTTTTTAAATTAGTTATTACAGTAAAGCAAAAGAATGTCTCAAGGCTAAAAAATTTTACCAGACCCACTCCCATAATATATATTTGAAAATATCAGGATTAGTCAGGTTTTCAGGAAGGAGAAACTGTCCTCAAACAGGATACATTGTTGTCATATAATCCCTAGTAAAGAGTTTAAACTGAGTTGTGTAATCATCAGTTTCCGGCTTAAAGAAAAAAAAAAGTTTTATGTGACTAAGACTAAGGAATGTAGAGAAAAAAAAGTCTGTCCTTCCCTCCTCCTTGAGAACCCCAGACCCCTCTCTCCTCGGGGACCCCGGACTTCTTATCAACTGCATAGGCATGGACTCTCTCACTGCCGTCTCTCAGGGTCTCCTGTCCTCATTCCCTCCTTTTCTACCAGCCTCTCACCATCAGCTTACACACGGCCAAGTGTCCCTTGACTCTGAGCCTCTTGCCTCCCACACATTTCCCCATCCTGTCCCATTGGGCAACAGCCCACGAGGCTCATGCCAAGAGTCCCAGTGGTCTTGTTACAACATCCCAACGGTCAGCTTGGAGATTCGCCTCATTGCCCTTTCCTATGGCATCTCACCCCACTGACCATGGCCTCCTCCTCTCTGCCTTGAGTCCCATGACCCTCATCAGCCTGGTTTGCCTTCCACCTCATCAGACACCTATCCATAGCTTCCTCCACAGCCCCTTACACACCAAGGCTCCCTTGGGCTCTGTCCTGGGTCCCACTTCACTTCCCTCAGCCACCTGATCCATTCCACAGTCTCAAGCACCATGTCTGTGGTGGATAAACCCAAACCCCACCTCTCCTTGGAGATCAGATTGCCTTCTGGGTATCTGCCATGGAACATCTCCCAAGAACATAACGTCTTCCACATCTTCCTCTATTTACCGAGGCCCCTACGAAGTGGTGAATAAAGTAGACATAGTTTGTGCCTTCAGGTGAGCTCACCTTCCCTGCCCTAGAACCCTTCCCAGTGGCTGGAAATCTGGAGCCATCCTGGATGCGTTTTTCCTTTTTACATCCCTTGTGGGGCATCATCAGCCTCCATCTCTTCACCCATATCTAGGTCCCTGGCATCTGGCCCAGTTCCTAGCATAGGGTATGTGTGTGTGCTAAGTCGCTTCAGTCATGTCTAACTCTTTGCAACCCCATGGACTGTAGCCCGCCAGGCTCCTCTGTCTACAGGATTCTCCAGGAAAGAATACTGGAGTGGATTGTCATGCCCTCCTCCAGGGTATCTTCCCGACTCAAGGATTGAACTTGCACCTCTTATTTCTCCTGCATTGGCAGGCAGGTTCTTTACCACTAGCACCACCTGGAAAACCCTAGCATAGCACAGGCTCACATAAATATGTGATAAATAAATGAACAACAACACTCCCCAGTCCTCTCTTCCTCTTTCACTGCCACCACCCAAATTCCAGATTCATCACCTAATTAGGACACATCAAGCACCTCTAACTAGTCTCCCTCCTCCAGCTTTTCCTCCCACCTCATCCCAACAAAACAATTCTATCATGTGGGGTGATCTCTGTAAGATTCAAATTTGATCTTAGAGACTTCCACATCAGGCAATGGTAGACTAGCTTGTTTTAGACTAACCTTCCCCCTGAGAACTACTGGAAAAGTCAAACAGAAACAGATACATCTGTTTGATATCATCACAGAGCCTTGAGGCAAAGAAGACCTGAGAGGGACTTCCCTGGTGGTCCGGTGGTTGAGAATCCACCGTGCAATGCAGGGGGACACCAGCTAGATCCCTGGTCCGGAAAGATCCCACATGCTCCAGAGCAACTAAGCCTGTGAGCCACAGCTATTGAGCCCACGTGCCACAACTACTGAAGCCTGAGCGCCCTGGAGCCCATGATCGTCAAGAAGACAAGCAACTGCAATGAGGAGCCTGAGCCCTACAGCTAGGGAAGAGCCCCCGCTCTCCGCAAACAGAGAACACCCACAAGCCCAAAGAAGACCCAGTGCAGACAAAAATACAAAATCAAAGAAAAAAGGAAATATCTTTTTTTTAAAAAAAAAGAAAGAAAATCACTTATCTAAAAAAAGACCTAAGGGGCCAAAATCCTGAAGTGAAGGGAAATCCGAAAAGATGAACCCGATATATGGCATCATTTTTCCCTTGGAGGTTTTGTTGATTTGAAAGTGAAGTTAAAGGGATGAGAAGCCAGCTGATAAGGCGAAGTGGATGAAGGTGTAAACTTCCAGTTATAAGATAAATAAGTCCTGGGAATGTAATGTACAACATGGTGACTATAGTTAACAATATGTATTTGAAAACTGCTAAGAGAGTATGTCTTGAAAGCTCTCATCACCAGAGAAAGAAAGTCTGTAACTATGTGGTGATGGATGTTAACTGAACTTACTGTGACAGTTATTTCACAACATATGCATACATCATATCTTCACCATGTACGTCTAGATAGTTACATGGAAAAGAAGGGAAGGAGGGAGGGAGGGATGAATCAAAACCATAATCAATGATGACATGTTAAACAAAAAATTCTTTCTGACCCTCAACACCGTCATTCTGACCCTCAACATCGTCACCCGGGGTGAGCACAGCTGTGCCCAGACCTGGGCGGGGGAGGGAAGAGACATCAGTTACCGCATCAATCTCGTTGAGAACTTTCCACTGCTCGTAAGGCACACCCAGGGCCTCGGCCGTCTGGATTGTCCTCTTCATCTGGCTTGTCCAGACCTTTAGGTCCTTGATGTTCTGATCCCTGATGAACTGGGCCAGACTCTTGGCAAACTGAAACATACCAGAAGCAAATTCAGATGGACCGGTCCTGGGCTGCCCGCAAAGAGTCCACGGGGCCCAGCCTCAGAGAAAACTGGTGTGGCAAAAAAAAAAAAAAAACCACGAAAACCACGAATTAATTCTCGATGACACCCACTCCCTTAAGTGCTGTCTCTGTGCATTCTTCCCAGACCCTGAATGTAGTTCCAGCTGCGGCTCATCAGGCCTCCCGCCAGTGCTGCCCCCCCCACCCCAACCATGTGCCTAGGCCGGAGCATCTTCCCAGCAAGGCTTCGATTTCTTCCCTGGACTGTGGCAGAGGATCACCTGCACTGCGGGCACTCAGCTCACTCCCACAGTGTCCCCCTCCAGGGAAAGGCGCTCAGCTGGTGACAGCTATTATGGAAGCCAGAGATCTGGGCATCTGCCTGGTGACCTTTGCTATGTAATAGGAACATTCCAGACTGGATTGCACATTAGCTGGAGTCCCTCACCAACATGTGCACATGCATGCGAGCACGCATGCACGCGCGCGCACACACACACACACACACACACGAGCATGTACACTGACCTCCCTGCCCCGGGGGGACAGCCCTGGGTCCCCGCCGATCCGGCCCTTGAGGTTGAGCTCGCTCTCCCCATGCCGGCAGAGGTAGATGGAGCGGGGCGTCACGTGGATGTTCATGAGGTAATACACGATGCGGCTCTGGATGTGGTCAGCCACGCGGTTCACGACGTAGCTCTGCCCCACGTCCATGATCTTAATGTAGGACAGATCCCTTTCCAGAGAAGGCAGGGAGAGGTGAGTGAGACCCGGGTCCTCCAGGGTCCGCTCTGCCCGCTCCAGAGCCCTTCCTCTCTGACCCCGCCAGGCTTGAGACCACAGCACGCCGGACCGTCAGCTGGTGTGCGAGCGACCGGTGGGAGCAACATGACACGCGCGGCATACAGACAAAGCCGGTGAGAGGTGCCCCACGCTCAGCATGCTCCCAGGAGGTGACAGCCAGAGAGAGGGGTCTGTCCTACCACATCCGACTTTCATCGCTGCTCTGCGTCCCCGGGGCCCCTCTTGCCTACCTCTGAGCGCTCAACGCACTGTCTGCAGGGTGAACAGGAGACAGTTTTCTCCATGACTGACCTGATGGCAGTAGCTGGCAAACACACTTCCCCTCCAGTCTTCCTGGTCAGCCATCCATGGGCCTGGCCTGGCCTTTCCTTCCCCCAGTGAACCCTCCCCCTAGAATCCAGCCCAGGTCATCTGTGTGCGCCCAGCGCCCATGCCATCCCATGCCAGGCAGCAGGTAGACAAGACAAGCAGCACAGGTGGCTGGTACTAAAGGCAGCAGCTGGTAAGCCCAGCTCCGCCACATTCCCTGCTTTGAACCAGCGCAGCCCTGCAGCGTGGAGAGCAGGGCCACGAGGAACAACGCTGTGCTGGGGAGACCAGCAGAACCACAGAGGCGGGGCACAGCACTGAAACAGTGCCAGCTGCGCCAAAAGCCAGGCCAGGGACTGTCCCGCAAACACCCCAGATACCCTCTCTCCAACAGTCACTTGACTTCCTTGGTGTGTAATTAAAGATTCATACATAATCACAGTGACCCAAATACAAGTTCATATCCCAGCCTTTTGACTTAATGCTACATAATGTGTGGCAAAAGGAGGAGTGACAGAGGATGAGATGGTTGGATGGTATCAGTGACTCAGTGGACATGAACTTGAGCAAACTCTGGGAGATAGTGAAGGACAGGGAAGCCTGGTGTGCTACAGTCCATGGGGTGGCAAAGAGTCAGAAAGGGCTTAGCGACTGAACAACAACATAACATACACTTTGTTATGTCTCTTTGGCATGACTTACAAGGACTGTGTAATACTTTATTCAGTTATTAACTTAATTACTTAGGTGTTAATTACTTAAGTGTTATTCACTTCAACACCCTCCCCCCCAACTTCTGCTATAAGGAGTTGTTGCCAAACTATGGCCAGTTAGTCAAACTCAGCCTGGTTTTGCAAATAAAGTTTTATTGGGACACCGTCATGTCCATTTCTTAATATGTTCCTTTAGTACTAGATGGCTAGTTAAGAGTTAAGAGACTGTATGCCCCCAAAGCCTAAAATATCTACCATCTGAGCCTTTACAGAAACAGCCTACCGATGGCTGGCTGCTATCCCTACTCAGAACTCACTCCTATGAAGCACTGGCCACTGTCAGCTCTTCATGGGTACGATCTGGGCACCCCGTCCCCCTTCTCAAAACACAGACCACCCACGGAAAGAAGAGCATGTACTGTTTGCAAATGGCTCATGGGAAGACCCTCTGTACAGAAAATAGGCTTGATTTTATGATGGTATAGTAGAAAATTCTGGCTTTCAGAGCTCCAGATAAACCAACTGCAGTTCTATGAGTCACCTGTGGGCCATGACCTCCACCCCGAGGAAAGAAACACAAAAGGGCAGAGCATCTCTGCCTGCTGGGGTGGGCCCTCAGCCACCACCTCGGGGAGCCATGGGAGGCAGCCCAGCGGTCCAAACCCACCCCCACCACAGCCGAAGACACGGTGCTGCCCCGGCTCACCTGTCCAGGTCCTCATCCAGCGTCTCATACGAATTCTCATAGCACTCAATGCGCCTCATGAAGTCCTCTGTGGCCTCGTCACTATCGCGGTTGATGTAGTCAGGGCTGCCCAGTTTCACTTGCTGCCGGAGCCAGGCACAGAGCAAGGACACATCAGCTCCAGAGGCCAGGCAGGGGGGAGACCGAGGACAACGCTGGGCAGGGGACTAGGGGAGGAGGCTGGAGGCCAGTCCCAGGGGGCTGGCTGGTCCCATTAAGAAGAGGCCAGCGGCTCCCTGGTCCAAGCTCCCACACCAGTGCTAAGAGAGTATTACTGGGCATCCTGAGATCACAGTCCCTCATTTTTGTGGTACTGGGGGAGGTGAGGCCAGAGGGATAAGGGGCCCTGAAGCCCCTCCCCACCTGAACTACCTCCCCAGACATTTCTCAGATAAAGAGGGAATATGGGTGAGGGGTCAAATCTCTTTACCCTTCAAAATACTAACACCCCGTCCCTACCCTGAAGCTCGTCTCCTACCATCCAGGGGAGGAGGAAAGGGAAGGAGGGAGGGGAAGAGAAGGGAAGAAGAAGGAATGCACAGCCCTCCAGATGAGTGGTACCTGGGGATCCAGGACCATCCAGCCCAGAGATCTACTGCCTCCCCACCCACTACCAAGCAAGCTAAGGTTGGCCCAGGCCACAGCCCAACCTACAGAGGGACCTCACTGTCACAGGCCGTCTCGGGTGTATTCCTGTCCCCCACCAGGTCAGACGCACCACACCACTCACCACAATGTTGGCAGCTATGACCTCAGGATCCACACAGATGGACTCGACAAAAAAGGTCTGCGGCAAAGACCACGGCAGGCAGGAGGGAAGGAACCAGAGACGCATTTAGGGCCCTGTGCCTGGCTCCCTGGAGCTCTCTACCCACTGAGGACCCTACTGATCAGCAACCAGGGCCCTGAGGCCCTCCTTCTGGGGAGAGGGCCTGGACAAGGGGCACGGAACCCCAGCAGGTGCCTCCCCATTCAGGACTCTCCCACCAGGAACCCCACTTCCCCAGAAAGAAACCTCCAGGTGGAGACAAAAGCATTATCGCAAATCCACTCAGGAACCCCAGGGGGCCTGAAGGTACCACAGCCCAACCCAGGAGGTAAGCCAGGGGGCCTCACCTTGTAGCCGTTCTGTTCCCCAAAATTAAAGATGGTGGCTCTCCGTTCCCGGGTGGTATTTGTTGCATCAAAAACCTAGGATCAAATTGGGGTTAACTCAGCCTCTGGCCCTGGAAAAGGTGGGAGGCCACCCAACAGCTGGAGCACACGGGCTGGGTTTCTCACTGAGACCAGCCGATGCCTGGCCATCCGGCTGGCCAGTATCCTTCAGACCTGCAATGGCGGGGCTGGTCCTCCAGTTCCTTGGCAAGCGCCCCAAGGAAGCTAGAAGGAGCGGGTACCCATGCTCACAGCAGGACAGCAGGCACTCTGCTCATGTCTGACCAACAAGACTTCCAGTGAAATTAGCTAAACCTGGAGAACTAAACTCACATTTATTTCCACTCCGTCCTGAGACCCCAGTAAGATGGGAACAGGACAGGAGATGGGCGATGTCACCGTAGTTTTTTTCTTTATGACAGACACTTGGTGAGTGGCTCAGAGAAAAGCAAACACAAGCCATGGCCAACCAGAGCACAGCTGTTTTGCAGACCTGGGAGAGTCAGGAACTGGGCACAGGCATCTCGGCAAAAAGGGGCAAGGGTATAGAGGAAAGGGGAGGACTGGAAAGGGGAGGACCGGCCCCACTGGGAGTGCAAGTGGAGCCTCAGGACCCCTCCCTGCCTCCTCCAGACAGGTTGTGAGCTGCCTGGTGCCTGCCCAGCATCCTCAGGTGCAGCCCACCCAAGCGGAGTTTGGAGCACTGCTTTTTATAAAGGGATACATCATTAGACCAGGGTCACTGAAACAGCAAAACCTCTAACATGGAAAATGAAGACCTGGGAATTCCCTGGTGGTCTACTGATTAGGACTCCATGCTTCCACTGAAGGGGGCACAAATTCAATCCCTGGTCAGGGAACTAAGACCCCATAAGCTGTATGGTCCAGGCAGAAAAAAAAAAAGAAGAAGACTAAATCAAACACGATAAAAGGAACTTTAAGAAATGACGACAGGGCATAGCACAGAAGGAAATGTCAAAAACTTACAATTATTGTCTAAAGAGACGCGAAATGCCATATAGTAAGCACAAAACAAGAACAGGGTTCGAAAAAATTGAAACACTCAGAAAATAAGACATTTTAAATTTGGAAATTGTACCATAAAAGTATAAAACTTCAGCCAAACACTTCTCAGATAATGTTAAGGAAGTCTCCCTGAAAGTGGAACCATAAGAGACAAAGGGAAAGAAAGGGAGGGAAAAAGACAAAGTTAGGGATTAGGTCTAACATACAGCCACCAGGAGTTCAGAAACAGCATCTCCGGAAGTGGGAGAGGAGTGAGGATTTGATGGTGAGACAGTGGTGGGGGTGGTTTAACAAAGGAACATATATGACAATTTCTCTGACCTGCTGGAGAAGGGTTTCCTGATCAAAGTCCCCCAGCCCAAGGACCCAGGATGGTGGAGAAGGCCACTGTAAGGCACATCACTCTGAAGACCCTAAAAGCTTCTCCAGAGAAAGGGCCTGAGAAGCCCCCAGCTCCTCTAGGAGATAAAATCTATTTTTTTTTTTTAATCTTAACTTTTTTTTGGCTGCACTGCACAGCTTGTGGGATCTTAGTTCCCCGACCACAGATCAAACCGGAGTCTTAACCAGAGAGTGAAGAGTCTTACCACTGGATGGCCAGAGAATTCCCTAGGAAATACAACTTTTAAGGAGGATCAACAAATCAGAATGACAACAGACTTTCCCACAGCCATAAAACAATGGAGCAATGTCATGAAATTTTTAAAGGAAATGTTCTTTCCACCTAGAATTCTATACCCACCCAGCAAAGGCAAGGATTAAAAAATATATATATATATTTCTGGACATGCAAGGTCTCACAAAATTTACTTCCCAAATACCTTTCTGAGAAAGCTACTTGTTCGCGCTCCAACAGAACAAGTCAGTAAATCAAGTAAAAGGAAGACATGGAGTTTAAGGGCCAGGGATTCAACTCAGGAGGGAAGAGAAGGAAATTCCCGGGGTGACGGCTGTGCCACAGACCTAGGGGGCAGCTGATCTAGATGGAGCTGGGGACAGAGCTCCAGGCTGCATGCCTTCAAGAGGAGGAAGGAAGGAAAATTCAAGAGGAAGAAGGAAGGAAAAATGGCCACAATGTTTCACAGCAGAGGGTTGGGGTGGGGCCCTTTCCTGAAGACACCCTTGCTCAGCTTTGTGCATCTCACGGGAAAGATCAACACATAGATGGAATTCCCTTACCCAGCATTCAGCTGATTTCGGAATGGTCACCCAAGGCTGGGCAGGATGCTCTCCACATTGGGAGAAATCACATTTGCTAAAGACTCAAGTAACACGACACGCCTAACTTGTGGAGCAGCCAACCATGTGAGTATTCAGAGGGAGGTCCTGCACCGTCAAACACAACCACAAGCCCAGAGGGAAATTCTTGGCCCCCGTCCAGCCCTGGCTTCCTACTGCAGAGCAGCTGCAGGCTTCCTCCCGGGGGCTGGCACCCAGGAGTGTCTAGGGCTGCTCGTCCCCTACCTCCCCCTCCAGGCGCCCGGTAAGTGAAGGGCTAGAAGTAGGTGGGCTCCCACATGTCACTCCCAGATGCTGCCAGCGTGTCATACTCACCGCCACGTGTCCCCCCTGCTCACTAAGGAACCGCCGAACATCTCGGAGGGCTGTCAGCGCACACTGCCTTCAGAAAAGAACACAGAGGTCAGCCAAGAACCTGGCTGGCTGCTGCGGGGCAGTAGGCCAGGGAAGTATGCTGTGCCGACCAGGAGAGGGGGCAGCCCCTGGGGCCCCTTCTCTCAAGACTTCTCTTTCCTTGGGAAGATTGCCAGTATTTGGTAACCCTGCTCCTGTAGGTAGAAGGCTATGTGCTCCTGGCCATCAGGAGTACTTTTTAAAATATACATATTTATTTATTTTTGGCTGTGCTGGGTCTGTGTTACTGCTCAGGCTTTTCTCTAGTTGTGGTGATCAAAGGCTACTCTCTTGTTCCGGAGCACAGGCTAAATAGTTGTGGTACACCGGCTTAATTTCTCCATGGCATGTGGAATCTTCTCAGACCAGGGATCAAACCTGGGTCCCCTGCATTGGAAGGTAGAGTCTTAACCACTGGACCACCAGGGAAGTCCAGGAACACTTTTTGAGATGTCATGTTTCTCTACTTTCTTCTTTCATCTCATCAGATACAAATCCAGGCTGCCATTTTGCCAACTTCAGAACTTCTAAGTGTCTTACATTTCCTCTGATTATCAACAAACCACTTTGAAAACCAGATACTTCCTTGTGTGTGTGTTGGGCGAGGAAGCTAGCAGAGGGAGAACAGAGACAATATTGCTGGCCTCTAGCTTAAAAGGCAGGATTAAGCTTCAGGTTCAATTTTCTTTCCTAGAAGGGAAATGTGGACCAAGGAGGCCACCTGCCTTATCACCAAACAAATGATGTTGCACGCATCAAGGCTCAGCTGTCATAGCAGCCCCCAAATGTATACCTTGAGGGGGATTCAAGAAGGGAAAACAGGAAACTGGCCACATATAGCTGAAATGCATATCAAAAGGATGACTTCAATGAGCCCAGGCTCTTGCCTCTTTCCCTTCAAACAAAAGCTCTAGGTTCCTTAACTTGAGATGTCTGTGTTCTTTAATTAACTGACTCTTTTGATGTTGCAGCCTACCTGGTTTTTGTCCCCCAAACTCCTATATGTCCTGGAACCTTCCTTACTTCTGGGAGCAGTCCCTCAGAGCTACCTGAGAGGCTGTCTTCAGGGCTTAAGTCCTCAGTTTGTTTGGCTATGCTGTGCAGCCTGTGAGATTTACTTCCCCGACCAGAGACTGAACCTGGGCCCTCAGCAGTGAGAGTGCAGGGTCCTAACCACTGGACTGCCAGGGAATTCCCAAGTCCTCAGTGTTGCTCACCGAATAAAACACAACACTCAAATTTTAAGTTGTACGTTTCTTTCAGTGGACCGAGAACTCCCCAAATGACCCCTTCTGGAGGAGGGTGCTGTGTCTCTGCCTCTTGGACCCATGCCCACAGATGCTCTGAAAGGCAAAACCCTCACCACGACTGACCACTGACTACAGTCTCTGTCCTCAGAACACCTCAGCCTTTTTGTTCATTGCTCCAAAGTGGATTGCCACATATAAGGATCTTTCTAACGTTATCCATTTCTCCTACAAGGTCCAAAGATAGATAAATCACTTTGACCTTTTATCTATGCAGTGGAGCAGAATGTGCCGCCCCAAAATAAATCTCTTTGGCAGAAGGATTATTTCAGGCTGATTATTTTTAAGAAACTGCAGACGCAGTAGAAGCTCAGAAAACATGAGTCAGTTATCCTTTTTTTACATGTATATGTATGGCTGAGTCCCTTTGGTGTTCACCTGAAACTATCACAACATTGTATGTTAATTGTCTATATCCCAATACAAAATAAAAAGTTAAAAAGAACAGCTTACCCCCCCCCACCCCTTTTTTTTTCTTTTTCTTTTTAGGGCTTCCATAGCAGCTCAGATGATAAAGAATCTGCCTAAAATGCAGGTGACGCCCCGGGTCAGGAAGATCCCTTTTTTAAGAGACATTTACAAATATAAAGGAAACCTCCATTTGTAAGGGAGTCTCCCTTGTTGAACCAGGAGGAAGGAGATGACCTTATCTCTCTGGAAACTCTTTATCAATGCTAAAGGCATACATTGATTGATTTATTTAGGCAGCTCCATGTAGCTTGTGGAATCTTAGTTCCCTGATGGATCAGGGATCAAATTGGCCCCGACAAGGGTCCCACAGTGGTCCTGTAGTCGGAAGCTTAACCACTGGACCACAGGGGAATTCCCTGAAGGCATAGATTTAAATCTGAGTAACAACCTTACCCTTGTTCAGTGAGCTGTTCCTGGTAACTTCCCCTGACTCCTCACCCTCAATGTCTTCCCTTCTCTTTAGCCGAAGGTTTTTAAGGTGAGGGCTTCCCTGAAGGCATAGATTCAAATCTGCATAAAAACTTTACCCTAATTCACTGAGCCTTTCCTGATACTGTCCTCTGACTCCTCGCCCCTCAGCACCTTCTTTTTAGCTGAAGATGGTATTTAAGGTGTATTAAGGTATTAAGGTATCTTAGGCCTCTCCCATGTACGCAGGAGACATAGGTGCTTTAAACTTTTTTCTGCCTTGTTAATCCGTGTCATTGTCGATTTAACTACTAGACCAGCCAAAGAACCTAGAAGGCAAGAAGGAAAAATTTTTCCTCCCAAACACTATCACCTATACTTTTTTTTGATGTAAGTAAAATTAGATCTCCTGTTTGTTTTTTGATGTAAGAGTAAAATTAGATCTCCTGTTTGTTCAGTCTTGGAATTTTGTATGTAAAGCCCAAGTGCACCAATACACTGACTGTGCGGTGCCCAAGAGTGGCCGCAGAGGCTGACCAGAATGCTGGGGTCATGAGAAAAGTGGGGGCAGAACTGAGTCCAGGTCATTGGAAGAAGCTCTGCTCTCATGCTGCCTTCTGACCTTTCTGGGTCCTCGTGTATCCTTCACCCACTAAATTCTGAGAGCAGACCCTCCCGCCTACCTGCCCACCAAGCCTCACAAGTGTCCTATTCTAACGAATCACAGAATTCTTTCTGTGCTGAGACATAAAGAACCGGAGCTCCTTGAAGCCCTCTGAGACACATTTCTGCAGTCTCGGCATGGCTAGGACCATTTCTGGCCACCCACATGCAGAGCCCCATGTCCAGGCTATGATCTCTGGGGGCTCCTCTGGCTGAGGCTACATCTAGTAGGAGGGATCAAGGGGCCCAGGTGGAGATTCGGGGGGGAACAGCCTGGGAGCCCCTGTGGGTATGAGTGTGGGTGGGCACACATGTGCATGTGGGTGGGTATGTGACAGGTGAGTCATTAGTGAGCACCTGTGAGCATTCCCTAGGGGTGCAGTTGTGCACACGCAGATGGGGTCTCTGTGGTATGATTAAATATATCTGGTCTCTGTCTAGGGTTCTTGGCAGAGCTCCTAAAACCCTTGGAATTCCCTAAGTGACAGGAGTGATTTTTGTCATTCACAAGGAGCCTCTTCCAATCACACCTGAGTTGATGCTAATGAAGTGATTCAGGGTGGGGCCCCTAGACAGCCTCAGCACTGGGCTGATCACAGAAAGTGATGAGGAACCTTTAGTCCTAACCACCACCCTCCAGAAAAGGAGGTGGGTGCTGAAGATGAATGATGAGAGTCAAAGCACTTCCAGGTTGAAAAGATGAGGTGCTGGTAGGGTGTGATGGTGCTGGGCCCTGAGACTTGTTACTGGTGTGTGAAGTGGGGTCAATTTTGAGGGACTGAGCCCTTAACTTGTGGGAACTGACTGATGCTAATGCCATTTAGAAAGGGTCAGAATTGAACTGAACTGGTAGACACGTCGGTGTCAGAGAGAACATCCTGGTGTCCCTAAGCCCATGTGACTGAAAAGGTAGAGTTAAAAAAAAAGAAAAGGTATAGTTATGATTAAATGTATTCATGTGCACATGGGGTATGTCTGTGCACACACTAGTGTGCACAATTATAGGTTTTTATATGTCCAAGCATGCACACAGAGGATATGCACATGTGTGAACACTTACATGAATTGTACATAAGGTGTGTGCACACACCCTCCTGCAGTATGTGACTCTGTGCAGGTATACAAGTGCGCTTGGTGTGTATTTAAGCACATACTGACGTGTATATAAAGAGGGAGCACCTGCACACACACACATAGATATGCATGCCCTCTTCTAGACCTTCCACTGTGCCCAGCGTCAGGTTCAGACCTCCACATTGTGTAGTTCCAGGAACCTCAACAATGTGTACAAACCTGTGTCTCTGGGAAATGTAGGCTTCTCTTCCTAGGTTTCCCATTTTTAAAAAGTCTGATCCTTCTATTTTGCCAATTATCCATGGGACATCTGGGGCTGGTTAATGGGAAATGGGGCCCTGGTGCAGGGGCCAGACCCAGGCTTTGGAAACACAAGGGAGAGTTCCTAGAAACAGCCAGAGGCTGTGCCTACAGAGAGGCACACGTGAACCTGCCCCCAGCTTCTACAGCTAGGTCCTCTGTTCCCACTGGGTGATCTTGGACTAATTCCCTAACTTCTGAGTCTGGGTTTTGCCATGAGAATTAAACCCAATTCCTACCTTCAATAGGCAGTCTGAGCAGAATGCCCAACAAGCTCTGGGAATGTGCTAGCTTCCTTATTCTGCCCACAAACACTCTGGATCAGACAGGCCTGGCTTCAAATCAAACCCTGAGTGATCCCAGACAATACCACCGCTTCTGACCTCAGTCTCAGCATCTGGGGGAGGGAGGCACCACAACCCACTGTAGGGAAGATCAAAGCAACTAATGAGTGCCCACAGCTTGAGATGAGTATAGAATTTGCACTTGATACAACCTTTGATCTACAAACTGGGTAATGTGAATTGGGAATGATGGACAGGACAGTTTATAGTGAAACAGGGGCTTAGACCTAATTCTGGGCTCTGTGAAGTTACTTGGTATCTTGTATGAGACCCCCTGAGCCTCAATTTCCTCATCTGTAACATCGGCAGGGGCGGGGCGGGCAATGGGTATCACACACCCAGCACACCATAGGTTCAAGCATCAGTCCCCTCCCTTTTGTCATTATCACCAGAGGGTCCACCCTCGAGTTTTACTCCCAATTTGGCCCCAGAGGCCTGAGTGTCAGACTCCCCTTCCCTTCTTGATGCAGCAGCGGCCCGGCTCCATTGACCCAAGAGTAGAGAACCTGATTGGCCAAGCCCCATGATGGGGAACTCCTGCCCCCTGGTGGCCAGAGAGGGAGCAGGCAAACCGCAGCAACAGCCTGTGGCTTCGGGCCTGGCGTTCCATTGACCCACTAGAGCTAGGCCAGCCTCCGCTAAAAGCCCTCGCACAGTGGCTGAGCCCAGAGCAAGGGCAGGACACTTCCTGACCCCTCAGCTGACACCCGCCAAGAAGGGCACAGCACAGCAACTCAGACCACAGCTGGTGCTCAGTTAGTCTGCAGAAAGCCCTCAGTTCCCGGCTGAATGGAGGAGGGGAGTGGGTGTCATACACAACTTTCCATCCTGTCACCATCCTGTCACCCAGCAACACTGAGAGACAAGGGAAAGCCTCCCTCACATGCCAAGGAACATGTAGCAAACATCCTCCCTGGATCAGCAGGGGCTTACCCTGGGGCTAGGGAGGAAAGGTCCTGGGTCTGAACTTTCTGTCTGTATAAGAAGGTGGCAGGAAGTGATGCCAGTCCCACTCTGCCCCACCTATGAGACTGGAATCTCTGCTTCACTTTGAGCTCCCCTCCCTACCAGAGCCCACCCTCGTGATCAGCCTGGGATAAGTGAATATAGCCTCTAGGCAGACCTGCCCTGGCTAAGCCTCTACCACCTCCCCAAAGCCCTAGCTCCCCTCCCAGAGATGGCAGGGCAGGGCAGGGCAAGCCACCCTGTGGCCACATATCCTTTCCCTCTGTTCCCAAGCCCATCATATCCCCACCCCAACCACAGCCTGAGATGCCAAGAAACCAGCTCACGGGGCAGGGCAAGGCCCCGGGCTCAGGGAACAGCTTGGTCATCACCAGCAACTGGGCTCCGGGGCCTTCTCCATAAACACACATAGACACACACTCACTTCCTGATTTTCAGGCCCTCTTCGTTGTCTGGAAGGAAAAACTCAAAAGATTTGTAGGTCTTGACCATGTCCCGGCGATACTGGCCCACGTTGAACTCTGGGGGAAAGGAGAGGCTCAGCTGTCACACAACAGCATCCCTTCCCAACACCCGACCTTGACCCACCCCTCTGGCCCCACTGCAGCCCAGCCTTCTCACTCCTCCCCCACAGAGACCCCAAGCCCCGTTTGGGAAGCCGAGGCTGAGTCTCACCCCGAGTGGGTACGCCAATCCAGTTCAGGTAGCGAGTCAGCTTCTTGGAGATGTAGGTCTTGCCCCTGGCAGGCAGTCCCACCATGACAATGAGCGTTGGGCAGTTGGTCATGCAAACTGAAAGGCAAGGAACACAGTGTCCCACGAGACCTGGACCCCTCCCAGGGCGCCCCTGCCTCTCTGCCCAGGTTTCCTCTGCCTCAGGGTACAGGACTGGCCTCTGATGTGTCTTTCCAGGCTCCTGGCAGCAGAGAGCTTCCCGAGGACCCCCAGACTCTGGGGTGGGGGGTCTCTAACCAAGGCTGGCATGCACCATTCCCCAGGCCTGTCAGACGCCATGGGATCTCACCAGACCTTACCTGCCGTGCACCATCAGATACAAAGCTGGAGCTGCCACAGGCCTGGAGAAACACCACGGGGGAATTCCCCTAGCAGGCAGGACAAAGCCGATGCCCGTCTGTCATCCAGGAACCCGCACCCCCACCCCAAGAGTCATTCAGCATTCCTGCTTGCACAGTATCACTGCTTCCGCATCCCAGGGCGGGTGGGGGGGTGGTGGATTTCTCATCTACAAAGCCTGGAAGCTGCTTCTGCAGTGAGTCCTTCCTTCAAGGCACCCGCATGCCCACCCGGTGCGTGCTCTCCCTCAACCCAAACCAGTCTGCTCTCCACAGCCCATCACTCGGCGGGGAAGCAGCCTTGCAGTGTCTGAGTCATCTAGGAACCCAAGGTCTGGCAGAGTTGGGTGTTCAAACCTTGTGGGCAGGGAGGGACAGGGAGGCACCTCAAAATCCACCAGGGTGAGGGCCACAAGGGGTCTCTGAGACCAGAGACACAGGCCAATACCCACAAGGGTGGTCTGTCTGAGAGCCACCCACCGCCACTCCACGTGCCACCAAATCAGTGCACCAGAAAGAAGCTGCTGAGACTGGAGGCAGGGAAGAGTCTGGACCCAGCCTGCCAAGCCCTGGCCACTACAACGGACACCAAGGTGGCATAAGTGCCAACCTCGCGCGATCCAACTCAGTTTTCAGCGTGGTCTTGCCTCAGGAAGCCTCCCTTTCATCATCCTCAGGGCCTGGGCCAGGTGAAACCACAGCAGACAGACACATGGACAGATGTGGGGACCTGTCACTGCCCCTCCTTTGCCCACACGATCTGCAAATGCCGGGCCCCACCCTTCAACTTGTCACCCTCGCTGGAGCCAGAGTGCAGAGGCAGTGGTCAGAGTCAGGCCTGAGTTCCTAACTCTGACACTTACTGTCAACTCTGAGCCTCTGAGTGTGCATGCGTGTGTGCGTGTGAGTGAGTGCTTAGTCACTCAGTCGTATCTAACTCTTTGCGACCCTATGGACCATAGCCTACCAGGCTTCTCTGTCCATGGGATTCTCCAGGCAAGAATACTGGAGTGGGTTGCCATGCCCTCCTCCAGGGGATCTTCCCGATCCAGGGATCGAACCCATGTCTCTGATGTCTCCTGCATTGGCAAGTGAGTTCTTTAACACTAGCACCACTTGGGAAGCCCGAGCCTCAGTATCGTCATCTGTAAAACAGGATGATAATCCCTCCGCGAGGTCTAACATTCGCTCCATTTAAGAGCGAATTTAAGAGCCAGAGCACTTCCAGGAAACTGTGTCCTGTGCCTGGCCTTGGCAGCCTGCCCAGCTAGGGAACAACATGCACCTCAAGACCGCCCTTGGGACTTGGGGTGAAGAGGCATCTGTTTGTCCCCAGGCAGGCCCTGAAGAGAAGCAAAGGGCCCTGCTTGCCAGTGGGAAGCACTCAGCTGCTCCTATGCAATACCTTTGGGCAAATGGGACCCAAACTGTGAGTCCCAGGAGCGAGGGGGAGGGGACCCGCTGATGGTGAGCGAGAGTGAGGAAACTTGCAGAAAAACCTCAGCATTGGCTAAGGCGAGAGAAAAACTAGTTAGGCAAGGCCCTGCATCCTGAGGGCCAGCCCCACGCTGCTGGAGCCTGGGCTGTTTGCACAATTCCTACCCAGCTGGCTCCCAAGCAACCGGAGGGCAATACCATCAGCTACTCACTACGGGGTGGGGGGAACCTGCACCCACCCTGGTGCCTCTGATGACCAAGGAGCCAGGAGGCTGAGGCAAGCGTGGTGCTGGCCAGTGACTACCATCTGGTGGTGTCTCCATGGGGGCAGCCTCAAGTCCCTGGAGGGGGTTCCAGAACTGAGTCCTGACCTGTATCTGCTCCCACTGCCTTGGGCCAGGCTGGGGAAGGGAGAGTTCTTTAAAACAAAGCAAACTGGCATGACAGTCCTGTTTGGAGGGGACCGAAAGTTATCTGTCCCACCCCTTCCCATGGCTCCCTGAGGGGCTCTCCCATGACCTCAGGGCTGGGGTTCTGCATACCCTCTTCACAGCTTCCATCTCCCCAGGGACGTCCCTGGCCTCTTCACACACTTTTGGCGACAGCATTCCTCTCCTCTGCCCCCCGGCCACCTACACAGCCACGGTGGGCGGGCAAAACAGCAAGTCAGGGCTGGGCACAAGACCAGAGCCATAAACTACCTATCACCTCTGTTCCTCAAGATAAGATCCCGAGCAAATACTCAAAAAGAAAAAGCAAAGTACAAGTGTGTTCACAAGAGCCCTGCTTGCAACAGCAGAACACCAGGGACGTCCAAGCAATAGAGAAATTGCAAACCGAGGCCCCCCATGGAGGAAACACACTTGAACCGAGGGCAAGGGCGGGCAGACCAGGAGAGCTGGTGCCTGCTGCTGGAGCTCAGGTCCAGGCCCTCAGGACCTTGATGTTGAGCAAGAGGACAGCAGAACACACAGTTTAGAACACAGAGCATGTGCGGAAGGAAATCTGAAAACATGCAAGTCAGCTTTTCTCGCAAGTTCCTGTAAATTATCTGTAAACGTACTCAAGGCCACCAGAGCCCAAGGAGCCAGGAGGCTGAGACAAGCGTGGTGCTGGCCAGTGACTACCATCTGGTGGTGTCTCCACGGGGGCAGCCTCAAGTCCTTGGAGGAGGTTCCAGAACTGAGTCCTGACCTGTATCTGCTCCCACTGCCTTGAGCTGGGCTGGGGAAGGGATAGTTCTTTAAAACAAAGCAAACTGGCATCACGGTCCTGTTCGGAGGGGATCGAAAGTCATCTGTCCTACTGGCCTGTGCACACATCAGTTGTGTCCTTAGCCAGGAAATCTTGCCAACTTTTGGCTAAGAAAGGCTATCAAATACTGCCCTTTTTGCCGTGTTCCCCGAGGCACGTCCCCATCTCCTACCCCATCTGCCCCCAGAGCTCCTCCAGGTCAATGAACAGAGAGGTAACAGCTTTTAGGCCTTCTGTGTAGCTTTGGATTTATGAAAAGGAGGCAGAATTGCTAGCAGAGGGTGGGAAGAGGCAAGGACATCTCCCCGCCAACCAGCCTCTGGTGTCCTGAGGAACTGGACTAGACCCCAAAGACAACCCACCACACAGCACAGTCTAGTGGTGGACGCCTACATCCTCTTCTCTATAAAGCCCTGTGATCAAGTCAGCGTCCACCCACCCCGACCTCAGGTTCCCACCTGTCCTTGTGGTCCTCCAACCTAGTTAGAAGCCCACCCAGCGAGGGTAAAATGCTGCATGAATGAGAACTTGAGACCTAAGATGCTGTCTCCATGCTCATTCACCGCTTGCTCCCTCCTTGCTATGAACTCTGGGACCCTAGCCTGGGGCCCAAACCGCCGTACCATCTGCAGGTCTCATCTTTGGCCTCTTGTGCCAGGTCAGCTCACAGTCCCACCCACTGCAACACCCTGAGGCAGTGCCAGGGCACAAGCCCCTGTGTTCAGGCCAGAGCCACATTTTAGCTGCATACCCAGAGCTGGAGAAATACAGGCCTGCCCCAGGGGCCGTGAGACCCGGCAAGTTCCCTCCCATGGGGCCTCAGCTCCTTTGCTACCTGAAAGGGGGTTGGCACGGAGCTGCTCGCTGATGCTTCATTCCCTGAGGGTGAGGAATGGAGAAGCAAAAAAAGAAGGGTGGTGACAAAATACTAAAGTAACTCTACCACTTATCAAACACTTATCAAGAGGCTCACAGTGCGAGGCTGTTGACTGTCTCCGTCCAAGAGATAAGGAAGCTGAGACCTGCAGGGTCAGCTCTGTGCCCAAGGTCACCCAGCAAAGCCACGACACAGTCTGAGTGCTCTTGCCTCCAAAGTCCACCTTCTCACTCCTTTCCTTTTATGTAACAGCAGAGGGCACCCACCAAGTCAGGGCAGCACAGCCCTAACACAGACTGACTTGAAGCACAAGAGAAAGGGGCCTTGGCCCTCCACACGTCCAGAAAAGTCTGGAAGGAGGGTTGGCTAGGGTGAAGCCATGGTCCCTTAGGACTGAATATTGACTGGAAAGCCATGGCCCCAGAGCTAAAGGCAGGATCACAGTTTCGGCACCCCACCAGGACTGACATAAAAATCAGAGCCCAGGACCCACCAGAATGTCTGATCAAAGCCCCAGCCATGGCCGCCCCTACCAGGACCAATAGCTACTAAGAGATACACACACTCCTCCTCCAGGTGGTGTGACATCCTGGTCAAGGCCAAGGCCCCCAGGCCAGCCTGAAAGCAAAACAAGCAACAGCACTCTCTCTTCTGTCGCTCCCAAGCAGAGGTCAGGAGGCAGGGATAGCCCAACATGTAACACCATCTCCTGACCTCCATTTCCCAATAGGTATCAGGACCTGGACTAGATGTTCTCTGAGGACCCTGCCAACTTGCAAATTCATTACAATGTTTCAGCAACTCTTAAAATAAATCTTTGTTTTTCCTGGTAATAAAAAAAGAAGTTGCAGACTCATTTAAGGACAAGCAGGCGATCAATGAAATGGAATAAACACCTAGGACCCAGGGGAACATGAGCCCCTTAACAATTCTATGATTTTCCAGCATATCTTCTAGATGTTTCCACCCTCCAGTTTTACCACTCATCCACAACCCCACCTGGACGCTTGCACACCCACAGACACAAAGACAGGCCCATATAACAAAGTGGTCTCACTGTCTCTCTCCTGAACACTCTGCACTTTCCTGAAATTGCTCCAAAAACTCGTTTTCAGGCCCAGAGATGAGATTTCCTCCCACCCAGGCGGCTTTGAAAGTTCTACGCTCAGAGAGACCAAGCGATTCTCTTAGGGCCAACACAGAGGCAGATCCCAGTCTGACCATTCGGCCCACACTCTCTGGCCAGCAGAGAGGGCAGGACCGAGGCTCCGAGTCCTCCCCGCGGCCTGAGACGGTGGGGACAGTGGTGTGCCAAGGGTCCCGCGCCCTTCCCTAGGTGATGGCGGCCAGACGCAGTCCCGCTGAGCCGAGACGCCACACACCTGTACCCACCTCCTGCTCTGCTACACCTGTCCGAGGCTTCACACCTGTTCCTGCTTCCCTGCCACCTGCCGCGGCAGCCTCACATGTCTCCGGTTCGCATCTGTGCATATGACATCAATACCCATCCCCGTGCACTGCCTTCCCCCCTTGCCCGCGGACCCCGCCTCACCACCGCGCTGGCAGGCGTGCAGAGCGGGCCGTCCATTGCTGTACGGCATCCAGATCTTCTTCAGGGGGTTCTGTGTCAGTTCCCGTGGGGACGCCATCCTGGGGTTTGGATGAGTCCGACTGCGCTGCTGCCAACCCAGCAGCCTGGCCACCTCGGGCCACTCGAGGCCCCGCCCCTCAGCCCCGCCCCTCCCAGAGCTGCGTTGACGCCGGTCCCATTCCCCACAGGCCCCGCCCCAGGTCGAGTAGGCTCCACCCCAACCGAGGAGGGCCTGGCGTCCGACCACGCATGCCCAGCTCTCCCGAGTGCCCGTTTGGGACCCAGCGGGCCCGCCCTTAATGCCAGGATGGAGGACGCGCATGCCCAGCTCACCACAGGTTCCGGGCTCAGATGGTACAGGCCCCGCCCTGGATGCCGGAGCCCCGCACACCCGACGCAGATCTGCAAACGCCTCACCCACCGCCTCGCCCTGGACTTCCCAGCGTGCCCCTAGGACACGCGGTTCCCGTTCTCCGTGACCTCAGGACCCTCAGAAGAAGGGGTTTGCATGGGTTGGGGCAAGTCTGCGTGACCCCCAGAACTTGGTCAGGAACAACCTGGAGGCCCCTGCGTGACTGGTCACCGGCCCACTGGCACGGCTGTCAACTCTCCCGCTGGCCTTGCGCCCCGACCCTCCGGGTCCCGGGACTCTCCACTGCACACAGGAACAACCTGCTCAACCACGTTGAAAAAAGCCCCTTTATCTAGTGGACAGGGAGACAACAAATCTCAAAACTGACCGTGTTTCTCTCTTTGCCTTAGCTGCTGGGGAGCTCGGGTTAAACCCCAGCCCACCTGGAGCAGGTGAGTAGGACCAAGCTCCCAGGGGACTCATCCAAGGACAGGATCTTCCTTTTCCTTCTAGGACGTCATTTTTACCAACTAAATTTTACATCATTAAGTTTATACATTTGTTCTTTAATGAGCCTCTGCCTCTTCATCAGGAAAATAGATTATGTACTGTCATCAAGGACAAGATTCTGGTATGGATTAAATGTGTCTGTCAGTGTCTGAGAAATCCGTTCTAAAGCCCAGTAATGCTATCATTTATTATGTTATTTATCTCCCTCCTGTCTCTAAATATGCAGTGGAGGCAAGAGGCAGGGGAGAGACCCAGAGGTTCAGGAGCACCTGGCTTCTTCTCTCCTAACTCCTCCGTCTCCTCAGCCCAGCCTCTTAAGCTTTGTACACTTTCTGCCAAGGCCTTAGCTGACAGGGCTCCAGTATGAGTCACACTGCCCTCTAGCGATGTCCTCCACCACACCCCCTGGCAGGACCACTGCATCCCCAAGGCCTCTCTGCTGACTGTGTGCCCGGCCGGGACCCAGGGGCCGGGGCATGGAGCAAAGACTCCACCCAGTGCACCACAGGGGCAGCGCGGCTTCCTCTGCCCAACTTGCCACACTCCTGCCTTGAGTCAGTCCCCCGAGTCCCCACCCAGCCCTTCAGAGCCTGGCAAGGACCTTTGAGATGACTGATGCAGATGTCTCTCTTGTTTCAGAGGGAGGGAAGGTTAAGGAAGTCCATGTGCTAGAAGCCCACACAGACCCTCCCTGGAAGCAGCTCAAGCTGCCTCCCCAGGGAATTCCCTGCCTCAGACCGACTCAACCACTTCCTCTCTTTTTCAGCCTCCCTCTTCAGTGTCCACCATCCACCTCCCTCCCTGCCTCATGCCCAGCAGCGGGCACACCCACGGGCAGGTCCTGATGAGTGGCATGCCCCTGGTGACCTCCCACCCACTTCCTACTTCTCCAAAGCCACTCATGCTGTTCCTGACACAGTCAGCCCTCCTGTTTGTCTCCTGGCCACTACCAAGGCCATCCTGGGGCCACACTAGCCTCAGAGACCTTGTCACTACACACTCACACTCTATCCAACCCGCAGCACTCATTGCAGAGTCTACCTCTAACATCCACAGACATCCCGCACCTTCTCAGACCTGCCATTCTCCTCCCTGGCCCTCTTGGAATGTTAGTCAAAGGTTGGGGATCGGGGACAGCCAGGGCCGAACAGGAGACCAGGAGCAGGTCTGGGAAGCTAACTCCATTATCCAGAAGTCTGAGTCTGGCTTCTCAGGGAAGCAGTGATTCTGTACCTCCCACTCTTCCCCAAACAGTCCCACTCTGGGTTGACTCAGACACTCCCTCCCAAGTCCCCATATCCAGGGTGAGGCCACTTGTCAACAGCAGGAGGAGCCTGGAGCGCCTCCCCATGGCCAGGGTCAACATCTGCTCTGAGGATATTCCCCATCTCCCATGCTGTGGCTCCACTTCTCACATAGGAAACTGAGGAAGGGGAGAAGGGCTGAGAGTCACAGAGTTGCCTGCCCACCATGCAGGATGGACTCAGCTCAACTGGCAGCCCTTACAAACCTCACCTCCCACACGCGGTGTACTATACCCACACGTCCCACCTCCATACCTGCGCTCTTGCACGTCCCCTGCACAGAAATGCTCTCCTAGCTTTCTGCTCCCTCAGCATCAGCAGATGTCCAATAGAATAACTGGCTCCTGTGGCTTGCCCTCCTTGGGTCCATCCCAGAGTGAGCCAGCTCTCCTGGCCCAGGGGTGGGAGGTATGCTGGGATGTTGCATGTGAACACATCCATCCTGCTCAGCCCCTACCCCGCCCGTGACCCTGCCTGGCCTGTGCCGGAGGGCTTCTGTGCACTGACCACTGGACCTCCTCCCGGTGTCCCAGGCTCCAAGCTGCGGGATGTCCTCAATCTTCAGTCCTCAAACTCTTCCCAGTCCCCATATCCGCTGGCCAGTCCTGGCCCAACCACCATGCCAACCTTTGCAGCAGAAAGGCCTAGGGACCTCAGTGCATCCCACACAGACCCATACGCCACTCCACAAACGCATGGTGCGCACACAGCCACGTGTGCACATGCACTACCAAGCCCTGCGCCCAGGCCGGCGGCAGTGAGACCTGCTGCTCTCTGCTGCCTCCCTCCCCCTTTATTCCCTCCTCCTCTCCTCTCTGCGGCCACTGGGAGGTTGGGGAGTTCCCAGGAGTCCCAATGGCTCTGGCCATTTCTAGCCAAGGATCATCCCGTGTCTCCCTGGGAGCCAAACTCACACAAGGTGTGAGGTTCCAACCAAGCAGCCCTGGTCTGCACTTGCTGATTCCCGCCTGGCACAGGGCACACAGTAGGTGCTCAGGGTGCCTCAGGGCCAGCCAGGGCACACAGTCCGAGGTGCTCAGAGAGGTTTGTGGTTGGGGCAGAGCACACAGTAGGTGCTTAGAGCAGCTCAGGACCCATACAAGGCACACAGTAGTTGCCCTAGAAATGCTGGTTTAAGGGCTAAAGTCACACCGTATGAAAAGCTTCCCAAATGAGCCTCTGAGCCTTCCCAAGCTGGTATGACCCCTGAGGGGGGACCTGGACAAGTATGACCCCTTGGAGGCCAGCAAAGGGCAGAGCGGGAGGCCCTGGGGCAGCTCCAGCGGGTTGTCCCTCCCCCTGGGCTGGAGGAAGCAGCTATTTATAGTTCCCCCCTTGGCCCAGCTCCCTCTCCCCGATGAGGCGCCAGTGCCCCCCCTCCCTGCCACTGACAGACCGATGCCCCCTCAGAGCACCCCTAATCCCAGAGAGACCCCCAAAGCTCTCACACCCCCATCTAACACCACCTCCACTTCGCCCAGGTCTTTTCCCAGTCCGCCCACCCTCTCCACCCTGCCCGGCGCCTACCCCGTCTGCTGCTCCCTGACCCGGGTTCCGTCGGGGAGCTGCCTCCTTCCATACCTCTGTTCATCCTGCTCCCGAACTGGCCCGGGCCGCCGCCCCCTGCGGCCGGGATTGGGGCGGCCCCGCCCTCAAGGCTCCGGAGAGCGCCGCCCCCCCCGTGGCTCCGCCTCTCCGCCCCGCCTTGGGCCCGCCCCCCAGGGCTGCTGACAACTGTGAGATCTCGGTCAGTGCCCCCCCCACCCCCGTCCCCAGCACCCCCGGCGGCCACACTTCCGACAGTGCTAACTTTCTCTCCAGCTAGGACCCAGTGTCTGCCCTCATCTCCAGCCGGAGTCGTCTACACTACCCACAGTTCCTGCCCCATCTGCTGGCAAGCCTGGCCACACGCTCCAGGAGGCTGGGTCTCATCTCCAAACCCGCCATGGAGATGAGGTTGGGAGATTAGGCCAAACCTGCAGCCTTCCACACCAAGGACAGGTCAGTGAATCGGGGCGGGGGAAGGGGGTTAGAGGAGCCGCTCACTGCCTGGGGGCACATGACTGTGTGATTCTTGTCTAGCCCATTCTCCAGTCACTGTGTTTATTGAGCGCTTTTTTTGCCAGCGGGAACCTTCATGTACATTATTACATCACTCCGTGCTCAAAAGAAGCGCGGTCGCATCACTCGGCTCTAGGAAGGAGAAAACCGAGGCTTGGAAAACTGAGGCTCAGGACTGTTGAGTAAAGGAGCCAGAGGCCCCGTCAGCCTGAGCTCCCTTCTCCCCTGAGCCATGTGTGTGCAAGGGTAGAGCCTGGGTACGCAGGGGTGTGGGTAAGACAGTGCCTGGGTGTGTGCTGAGCATGCTTTATGCAGATTTGGGGGACAGGCTCCCGTTCCTCCCAGCCCTCTCACAGGCCCACGCCTTGTTCACATGCACAGACAGCCGTCAGATACACAGAGATGTAGCCACCCATGCGTGTACACCCCCCCCACACACATACAATGCAAGGCTGCGACAGCCACAGGCCTCCCACGTACAAGTGTCTGTCTGTGCCTGGAGATGCCCCAATCAGTCTGGGGTGGGTGCTGCCTGGGAACCTCTGCCAGCACCTGTCTGTGTGGTGACCCGTGGGGGCAGGGCAGACCTCTGGGTCTGGCCTTAGATGGGTGGTTCTCTCCGATGCAGACTTGGTGTCCTGTGTTGAGGTTCCTGTAAGTGGCATTACGGAGACCCTGTATGATGGTGTCCAGAGGCTCTTGACTGTGGGACCCAGACATGACCAGACTCCATGTGGTAGTGACCATCCATGGTTAGTGTCCAAGCTCTCCAGACATATACCGTAAGTCTGGGGGGCTCCTAGGAGTGGCTAGAGTCCATTGGCAACCTGG